TGCTGGATATCAACTCAGTGGTATAGAGATTAGGCATAAGCGTGCGAAACCAAAGGTCCTGAGTTCACTACGCAGATGTGAGATCGTGGATGTGCACCGCAGAGGAGTTCCATGCTATGAAGGTACGGGCGTCCATTGCTTCCACTCTTATGGTGGTCTAACTAAGACATGTTCGTGATATAAAATCTACGAACTATTTGTTTTGTCTAAGATGCTAATCGCTATCATTCTCTATGTAAGCCAATCGAAACTCCATTTATAATTTTTTTTTACCTCGCATATTCTATTTCGTCTGCAACTTAACGTCCCCAGTCTCTTCTAGTGATATGTCCCAGCTGACACGAATAAATTTCAGTTCATATAAACTTATCTCTTATTGTTCCGCTGATTCGTAACTTTTTCTTCTATCCCCTGCCTTAAGTCTAAGAAAGAAGAGCAGTCAAACTTTTATTATTATATTCCACCCATGCAATGTATTTATCCCAAACATATTAACTTACATACATGAAATATCCAACTGCAACTCAAATTAGGAAACCATTATTTGCATACAATCACTCCATAAATGACCGAACGAAGTGAACATTACATTATTAATTATCAATAATTGAGAATTAATGAAACATATAACAATAGTTAACATTTTCTTTTGGAAGCTTACAATAAGGGTGTTTTGTCTGAAGACCCGTTGATCAATATCATGTGCCAAGTCGCCAATCAGAATCCTAATTCTAATTTGGTCTATTATTTACTTTATAGCTTAATGTCTCTGACTTGGTCTATTATACGTCTAACCAACACTATCGACTTTGAGTCGATGAAGCTAGGTTTTTACAGGTTTGTTATTCACAAGCTTCTCTCAATACCTTGCCTTGAGTTTAGAAGTCAGCAACCAGCTTTAACTTTATTTATATTTCGAACTGACGTTTGTATACAGGGTTTCACCATACCGTGAAATGAAAAATAACAATTAGACACGAACAAACAGAAAGTGGCTACGGATATGAGAGACCGTAAATAATAGACTGGCAACAATTTATGACCGTTGGTTTATGGGCTAACGAAAAGCTTATGATAAGCGAAATACATAAACGTAGTAATTTGGTTACTCTTTAATTATACAACTAAATTATAATTATTAATAATTTGGAAAATTACTTCAAATCTACAACATTTGTGCCGTTTTAAAAAAGGTGGGAATATGAAAATACAATAATACTGTTAACTACTATACGATAAAAATATAAATAATAGTAATAATTTGGGATTTAGTCCCTGATTATTGTAGTTTGCGTACACTGATCAATATTATCAATCGGAATTCCGGCTGTAATTTTATGTTTCTCGTGTCCATTCTTTCGTTTATAGACTAGTGTCCTGGACCTGAATAAATACACTCATGACTCACACAGTTAGCCTTGAGAATACATAGTCTGAACACCTAGTAGTCGGCTATTCATAAAACCTTCTCGATCTTCTTCCTTGAGTCCAAGAGAGACGTTAGCAACCAGCTTCCATCATACTCAGTTCAATCATGACTCAAAACTCACAATAATATAGAGTGAAATCATAACCACACATCAACATAATTAAAAAATGACAATAACGAAATAACTACGCTATAAATGGAAGAGAACTGAGTAATAGGTCTATAATAAATGAACAGTAACTTAAGTAAAGTATAGCATACAACAACAGTTTATGTATGACGAGAAAGCAGAAGAATGCAAAAATGCGGTAACTTAAGTAGTTGATAAAGAGCAAAAATAACTTCAGAAAGGAGAAAATCCTAAATTTTCTAATAATCGTTTCGTTTTAATGCCAAGAGGTACACTTTCATCAATATTTGCTTCACTGGAACTATTTTTGTTTTCGTTATTTGACAGATTGAAATCATGAGTCAGTTGAAGCTAGACCACCATTGAAAACCTGGAAGCACTGGACGGCCGTTTCGTCCTAGTATGGGACTCCTCAGCAGTGCGCATCCACGACCCCGCACCACGCGGGGCTCGAACCCAGGACCTACTGGCTTCGCGCGCGAGCACTTAACCATTAGACCACTGAGCCGGCATCCAACGGTGTTAATGTCTAACTTCAACCAATCCACGAAGTTGCGCTACCGTACACCATTGTCTTCAGTGAGTTCCTATCTCACAACAGACCTGGTTTGCATAGTTCGTTCATAATTACAGAAATTCAGCCTTATTGTTAATTCTGGTTATATACTAAATTATATATGTGAGAGTTGAACAGGTTCATACTGGTTATTTTCATATACGTAAAGTTTGTTTTTATACAATTTCAAGATGATGTCATACATATGTCACACATATAAGCCTTACAAATCCAAAATGTCACTTCAGCATTGACTAGCATCGGCGCCTGAAATAATGTTTAGTGATGGAGTAGTTGAATTGCCTCACCTATCTTGAGTCTCATCAATCCTGGTGTTTGGCGAAATATCTGCTCGGATTCAGAGACCTCGGCTGCGCTTCGCTAACTCCCATAACTCATGGCGTAGGCGAGATATCCGTTTACTGACAGAAGGACAAGTCTTCTGTGCAGCAATTCGTTCCGCTATACTTTGCGTATGAGAAATGGTCATTAAAAGTAGAGGACATTTGTAGGTTACTAGTATTAAGTCTTAGGTGTCTCCGAAGCATCACTTGCGTACCTTGGGACCACGGATTAAGCAATGGCCTGGATTAGGAATAAAGTAAGCACCTTAGATGCCGTTGCTGTTCTGCATCACAGTATAGTGTTCAGCTTAAAAAGAGTAAGAAGTATGTTCGATGAGCTTTTCTGGACTGTACTTCTGCTTCTGATTCTATCCCAAGACAACTTTTACTTAACAAGTTAGCGTTTACATTGACAGCTCGATAACCAACTGGCTATGTTTCTAGCTCTCTGGAAGAAAACAATACACTTTCTGGAGGGGGGTGTTCAACGCCTCTACTGTCTCATAAAGGTGTATCACAAGGAGCTCTTCTTTCACCTCTTTTCTCTTTTTTCTGCATGATCTGGCATCTATCACAGAAAACTTTTGTGAAATATGCGGACGATCTCACTGTATGTATGCCGATTTCTACCTCTTTATAACCCTTAAAATGAATGAGTTTTTGTCTCGTATTGATTGTTGGTCTGTCGGTAATGGTTTCATACTTAATTCGTCTAAATGTTAGACTGTTAACTTTAGTCTGAGACATGAACAGCACCTAAACACCATGTTGGGATCCCATAATGCTTGTGCTATTGAAACTCTGATAAACACAGTGTCGAAGGTCAATAATCTTGGTGTTACCTTGTAGTGGTTGTGTTTCGGTAACCAATAACCCTCGTAACCGTTAACATATAATCCTCAACGCTGTTTGAAATCAGAAGGCAAAGAGAAGCTGCTGCTACAGTTTTATTAGCAGATAACTCAGACCACAATGCAGTGTGGCAAATGAATGAGTCAGCGGAACGAGAGAGTAGTGTGTAAATATATATATATATATATATATATATATATATATATATATATATATATATAGGGAAATGAATGGATCATCGAATCAATCAAACAGCTAATAATAAAGCTAGCAGAATGAATATATGCTTAGGCTGTAAGCAATGTCCAAGCATATATACTTCATACATGCACAACAATAATAAAGGTACAATAAGTTGTTATAGTACGGATGACTTTGTCCGCTAAATAAGTTAACTAAAGGGCTTAGCTGAGTTAAATGAGAACACACTCAATTGCACGTGAGCTGCTATAACCTTTTGTTGGTCTTCTCATGTTTTTACTGTTATCGAAGAAATTTTTCCGTCTGATTTGTTACATAAAGAAGCTGCATGCTTTTGGGGTTACTTGACACTTACTCTTGCAACTTGTCAATTCGTGTATATTACGTATTATTCATTATTTTTCTCCATTATTCTTTCCCGGGTTTTTAAAAAAGACTTTGCTGTATTGCGGAAAGTGCTAAAGGTAGTTAGCAAGGTGTGTGTTGAATCTTTTGCGGTCATTATTGATATGGTTGTGGATAAAAACATAAGGTCTTGAAAACTCCTGGTAGCTGTTATCGTATCAGATACTAACCATCCACTTCATATCTGTCTCCTTGTATATCTTCTTCTGGTAGAACGAGATGTCGATACATTGAAATCCATGCAAGCAAAGATATAAAAGTCCCATAACACCTTACCTAGCAAATATTCCCTGTGACGAACAGGTTGTTAGAGTTGACCTAGTCAGTAACCTGTATTCTCAAACATGTCTCTAATTAAAAATCTGTACAGATTCAGATCATTTTTTTGTTTTTTAAAAAAAAATAAACCTGTTGAAATACCTCGTGCTGAGAATTCTCTATTGTACCAAAATATAATATTGCATAAAGCCATTAATAATAATACGAGGCAGAATGGCAAATCGACTGAGGAGGTTGGAACATATGTTACGTATGCCCAACCACCTATTTCCTCGACGGACTATGTTGTCTGATGTAGTATTTGGCTAGAAGAAAGCTAGAGATGGCAAACCAAAACATAGCATCAGTTCGTGAAGTCACTAACACTATATTAATAGGTTATAGACTACCTGGTTAGCGTCCGCATGTTTATCGTAAGTAGTGGTTAGACTTTGAATGATATGGCTCATAATACCTTGGAATGGCACAGGCGCATCCATTCTTTGCCAACCCCCATAATGTACGCTTTTAAATTTCTTATGATTTTTTTATTTCACTAATTTATGTTTTCCTGTCGAGTCCTATCTTCGATATTTAATCTTTTCTATTATCATTGATACTGTTGCTACCTCCACTATTCTCGGATTTGGTTTTATAATTTCATCGATCCGTACTAATGGGGGTATGACAACTTGAATCGATGTACATACCTATTAGTTTCTAAGTTATAACTAACTAATTGACTGAAATACAATCTGAATCATTAAAAATTAATCAGAATTGTTTCTAATAAATGTTGTAATTTTTTTTCTGTCATACGCATAGGTTGTTCGTGCTTTCGATGAATTAACCGGAGAGGAAGTCGCTATTAAAGTGATTAAAAATAAACGTTCTTTTGTACAACAAGCTGAAGTTGAAATTAAATTACTACGTGAAATGTCTATATTTCAAGCGAATGAACAATTAGCTACAGATGTTGGAGCTAATTATATTGGTAAATGATTATTAAATATACTTTCATTTTTATCAAACAATTTTTAAATTAATATTCGTTAAACTTTCTAGTTTATCTTACTTTATATTTAATTTCGTCATAGATATCCTCTAAGGAGTTACAATTTTTTTATAATTTAACCTTTAAGAAAGATTGATCATCTTTACTAACGAGGAGATTGTGCAGCATTACTCTTTCTATGATTATAAATCCATGATCTATACATAGAGATATGCATAGATTACAGATTTTTGATCATATGCGTTTTCGAAGCATTACTTGTGTAACATGAAACGACTGAGTGGTAAGGAGTTTCAAGGCTAGGAAAAGATGTTAAATCAGTGTATGAAACTGAATATTCATTGACTATGATGTGGTTTGAACATGTGTCATATTTATGCCTAAACACTGTCTGCCTTGATGGCCGATGCTTGCTTGTGTAAAAAGATGTTGGGAAGAAAGCTCCTCCCGACCAAACTAAGAAGTAACATCAATTATTGATTATTGGTCTGAGCCGTGACGATACGTACAGACTAGATAGTTGAGGTGTTCGTACAATAATCATGACCAGTGGTTAGAAATGTTCAGTGACATGACTTATAATGATTCCTCTAGATCTTCAGTTCTAGTATACCTTCAGGCATCATACTTTCCCACTTTGTCTTTTTAAACTATATTCTTAGTTGAGATCATGAGTCAATTGAAGCTAGACCACCACGGAAAACCTGGAAGCACTATACAGTCGTTTCGTCCTATTGTGGGACTCCTCAGCAGTGTGCATCCACGATCCTGTCTTGCGAGATTCGTGGATGCGTACTGCTGAAATCGAAATCACTATAATATCCACAAAAACTCTTTCTGATATATTCCTAATATTTAGTTGTTTTTTTTAATTTTTGTCATCGATACTGTGTAGTGGCTGTGCTTCTATAATTAATCACCCTCGAACCGTTATCGTATAATCTTCAACGATGTTTGAAATCAGAAGGCAAAAAGAAGCAGCTACTACAGTTTATTTAGTAGATAATTCGGACCAGACAGCAGAGAGGCAAAATGAATGAGCAAGCGAACTACGATTGTAGCAGTAGCAAGTAGTTGTTGTTGTAGTTAATGAGTGCAAATGTACACATATATATATGTATAGGAAAATGGATGAGTCAGCGAATAGATTAAGCAGTTAATAATGAAGCTAGCAGAATGAATACATGCGTAGGCGCTAAACAATGTTCAAGCGTATGTATTTCATACAAGCATAATAATAAAGATAGTACAACAAGTTGTTATATCATGGATGACTTTGTCCACTAAATAAGTTAACAAAAAGGGCTTAACTGGGTTAAATGAAAATAAACCCATTAGCACGTGAGTCGCTATAATAGCTCCCCCCTGCAAACAAAGATATATGGAAAAATGTCTGTGTTTGCACAAAAAAAATAGCAAACTGAGTAGGGTAGTTACAATCGTTTGAAAAAAATGGTTTGTACAAAATTAAGATGAAGTTGGTGTGTGCTGTACATTTGATTTGCGCCTGTCCGTGAGGTTACATAAAATAATAGCAAGAAATAGAAGGAATGTGGTACTGCTTTACATTTTAAACAAAAATTATACGCATAAGTGTAAGGGTACATAAGATACGTTGAGTTTTATAGCGCATAACATGAGCTTAATAATGCATGCGTATACGATGAGGTAGAAGTTATAACTAATATTCCAAATAGTAGATTATTATTAATAGAAAATTGTAGCGACATAACGTTGGGGCCATCTTACTCTTCGACCAGACTTGGTGGTTACTGGATTCTCTTTGTTTGTGTTCGTCGATGTCGTTGATGATTGGAACTGACGCTTCGATGATTCAACGGTTTTCGCAGTATCTGTATGTACTGGCTGATCGTAGGCTTCGATGAAAGCTGGTTTGACTCGGTCGATGCTAATTACATCCGTTTTTCCAGCTTTGTCTACCGTAATAGTTTTGTCGTCTCTTTTAATCACCTTAAATGGACCATCGTAGGCCGGTTGTAAGGGACGTTGCACCTTATCCCTTCTTATAAACACATGGGTACTGTCACTTAGTTGTTTGGGTATGTAGACACGGCGTTGATGTTGTCTTGGAAGCGTTATCCTTAGACTACTCATATGCTGCTTAAGACGCTGTACATAGTCCGCTATATCAGTTGGGACGCTTTTACCTGCAGTGAAAAACTCTCCTGGCAGACGTAGTGTGGTTCCATAAACCAACTCTGCTGGGCAGCATTCTATATCCTGTTTGATTGTTGATCTTAAGCTCAACATGACTAACGGTAGCTTGCTGGCCCAATCGTTATTGCTGATGACAGCTGTAAGAGAAGCTTTAAGTTGCCGATGCAATCTCTCTACCATACCATTCGACATCGGATGGTAGGATGTTGTGCGAATTCGTTTGATTCCGAGTAGTTCTGTGAGTTGTTGGAAGAGGCGGCTCTCGAATTGAGCTCCTCTATCGGTTGTAATATTAGTAGGTACACCATAATGGGAAATCCAATGCTCTACTAGGGTTTTTGCGATAGTTTCGGCTGTAATATCTTTTATGGGCACAGCTACAGGCCATCGTGTGAATCTATCAATGCAAGTGAAAATGTAACTAAAGCCATTCGAAACCGGCAGTGGTCCTATAATATCGATATGTACGTGCTCGAATCTGTTATCGGGATGACGGAAATGACCTACTGCGGAACTGGTGTGGCGATGTATCTTAACTCTCTGGCATTTTATACACGCCTGCGTCCAATTACGAATATCCCGATTCATACTTGGCCATACGAAACGTTCGCTGATTAGTTTGATGGTGGCCTTTATTCCGGGATGCGAAATATTATGCATGGCTTCGAAAATGTTTCGCCTTAGCGGCTTTGGAATAAATGGTCTTGGTTGACCTGTAGAGATATCGCACGTGATGCTTACTTCTTCCAATGGAGTTTCTTTGAGAACTAACGAGGTTGTATTGGCAGACTTTAGTCTGTTTAACTCGACGTCGATATTTTGTAGTGCTGCTAACTTGTGATAATCGATTTCAGACTGGATGAGAGCGTTGACCATCGTTCTGGATAACGCGTCTGCCACTTCGTTACTGTTACCTTTGATATACTGTATGTTGGACGTGAATTGGGAAATAAATTCTAATTGTCGGATTTCCCTCGGCGAGTAGTTGTCCTGTTTGGCGTTCAATGCTTTTGTGAGGGGTTTATGGTCTGTATATACCGTGAAAATGGTACCCTCAATCATATGTCGTAAATGTTTTATTGCCAAGTAAATCGCTAGGAGTTCTCTCCCGAAAGTACTATATCTTGTTTGTGTCGGATTCAGTCTTTTCGAAAAAAATGAGAGCGGTTCCCATATGCCATTTACTAATTGTTGTAAAACGGCTCCTACCGCTACGTCTGATGCATCCGTCATGATAGCTAACGGTGTTTCGCTCTTTCGTCTAGTTAGTGTCACTTCTTTATTTAGTGCTTTTTTAGCGTTCTCGAATGCTTGAATCGCGTCTGGTGATAATTGGAATGTCCGTGCGTTTCCGCGTAATGCATCTGTTAGTGGTTGCAATATTAACGCGCAATTCGGGATAAATCGTCTGTAATAATTTATTAACCCGAGAAATCGGCGTAACTTTTTCCATGAATCGGGTAGGGGATAATTTTTGATGGCGTCGACTTCTGTTGCTATTGGTGTGATGCCTTGAGAAGTTATATTGTGACCTAGGAACTGTAAAGATTCTTTTCCGAATTCACACTTCTCAATATTTATAGAAATGCCATGTTCTCTGAGTCGCATAAATAATTGCCGTAGTTGTTGTATATGCTCATCTTTAGTGGTGCTAGCTACTAGTAAATCGTCGATATATGCGTATACTCCAGGTAAACCTCTAATGACCTGGTCGATAAACCGTTGAAAGGTTTGTGCTGCGTTAGTCAGTCCAAAAGGCATACGCAGGAATTCATATAGCCCAAATGGGGTTGTTACTGCTGTCTTCGGTATGTCTTGTGGGGCAACAGGGATGTGGTAGTATGCTCTGACTAAGTCGATCTTCGAGAAGATAGTAGTGCCCTCAATACTGTAGGTGAAATCATGAATGTGCGGTATAGGGTATCTATCAGCTACTGTTTGTTTGTTCAGTGCTCTGTAGTCTCCACATGGCCTAACCTCTCCATTCTTTTTTGGGGCCATATGTAGCGGGGATGCCCACGGGCTGCTCGATGGCCTTATAATGCCTAGCCTCATTAGCTTGTCGAATTCCTGTTTCGCGATGGCTAGTCTTTTGGGATCTAACCTTCTTGGTCTTGCATTGATTGGTGGACCATTCGTTACGATGTGATGCTGAATAGAATGTTTGAGATCCGCTTTATTGTATGTTACTTTTACGAGTTCAGGAAACTCCCTTAACAACAATTTATATGGATCACCACGACTTTTATCTATCACGAGGTTCATTGAAACGGCTTCCGTAAGTATTCCTCTTATCGAAGTGGTTTGACTGCCGTTTATAAGTCTGTGTCGTCTAGAGTCTACTAGCAGGTCAAAGTTACATAAGAAATCTATGCCTATTATGGGCATCGATACGTCTGCTATGACAAAGTTCCAGCGGTATGAAGCGCCACGTCCAAAATCTAGGGACAATTGCCGTTTGCCATATGTTTTAATATCTGATTTGTTTGCTGCTCTTAACACTAATGACGGATTAATGTTTTTTCTTTCCTCGTTAAATGGAGGTACTACGCTAATTTCCGCTCCAGTGTCAACTAAGAATTGTGCGCCAGTTGTTCGGTCTTGTATATAAAAGAGGCGACTATTTTCAGGCATTATGTGTGTTGATGCCGTTGCCATTGATACTCGTGGGTATCGGTTACTAGTACTGTTAAATCTACAAGGTTGTAGGCACTTTCTAGCCCTGTAGCCGAACATTTGATGATACCAACATATCGCGGGAGTTGTGCGTCGTCTAGAAGTTGACCGGGTCCTTTCACGCG